CTCAAAGTCATATTTTGGTTGCCTTGGATTTGGTTTAATTTTCCTCAGCTTCAGCTTGAATTTGCATATGAGTAGTTGGTGGTCTGTTCCACAGTCAGCTCCTGGCCTAGCTTGGCTAAATTTCCACCACAGTTGGTAAGTGGAAGGAAGGTAATGGAGAAATAGCATGGCCGTTCTCTCTAGATATCAGTTGTCTCTATCTTGTGATCTATACCTCTGTCATTTATGAATCTCCTTGCATCTCCCATCTGATGGCACTGCAGGTGTCTTGGGCATATTGTTGTTATGTGCCATCAAGTCAGAACTGACTCATAGCTGATCTTCCTAAATTTCCAGAGGCTATAAATTGCACAGGAGGACACTGCCCACCTTTCTTCCATGGAGCAGCTGGTGGACTCTTGGGTTGTCATCACAACTCCTGATCCACTAGACCACCATACCAGCTTCTAATAAAGCATATCTCCCTATACTCATACCTTGTTCAATGTGACACTGTCACTTTTCCCAAAAAGCAATGGATCTGAACTATCCTTGTGAGAGGATAGTCTATTATTTGAATGATAGGATATGGTGGAAGTAGCAGAGTACATGTCATTCAGACTAGAAAAACGTTTAGCATTTTGTACAAATTTATGTGTTTTTTTAAATTAAATTTTATTAGTTTTAATGAACATTTACAGAGATCTTGGGTTTTCATTCATTCATTGTTGCTCTGTTTTCTCCACCCTCCTCCCCAGTTCGTTCTTCTCCCCCCCATGTCTGTTTTAATTGTCCAATTGTTTTTATGTTTGTTAAGACAGAAGTGACCCATAGCTGACCCCTCTAGCAGGTTTTCAGAGGCAGTAAACTGCACAGAAGGAGACTGTCCATCTTTCTTCTGCAGAGCAGCTGATGGATTCAAACTGCATGCCTTTGCATTGGCAGTGCAATTCCTTACCACTAAGCGGCTAAAGTGACTGTTAAAATGAATTCCCACAAAGCCAATGTGTGCTACAATGAATGCAATTGACATGTCCCATTAGCTACTTGGTATTTTAATTTGGATAAATTCTAGGTTTTGAAATGCGATAAAAATATTTATGATGGTGCCAGTGGCTACATTTCCATTCCAGACCAAAAAAGGTCCTGTTCCTCCTCCAGGTTTCTCCATGGTTGACCAGTCAGCCTAAGAACTCAGGAGCATGTCTGAATTGCCCCTTCCTTTCATTGTGCATCCAGTCTTATTTTTTCCATTTTCAAGTCTCTCAGCAGTCCTCTTTCCCCACTGTCATCCCTTATAATAAATTCCTGACTGGTCTCCCTTTTCCATTTTTGCCCGTTAACACATTCTTCACAGAACTACCAGAAAGATGTCGGAAAGTATAACTTTGGTCAGTTGCTCCACTTTCCTGAATTCCTAAATGGTTCTCCTTTATATAGAGAACAAGAGCCCTTTCTTGGCCATGTTGTCTCACATGCTATTTCCTCACACTAACTTCTGGAGTAAATTTCTATCACAAACCCTAATTACTTCCTTCATAGGGCTCCTTCCAAGCTGCAATTCGTTTGCTCATTTATTGACTTGTTTGTTCTATAGAAACTAACATTCACTCTAGAAGGAATATTCCCTTTGTATCTCAGCAATAGAGCACTGCCTAAAACCGATGATATCTTCAATAAACACTATTGAGTACAGAGCAAGAAAGAAACAAAGCAAGTAATTAGTCTCTACTTGCCTGGAGCAACAGAGAAAGGAGAGTCAGGAACAGGAAGAAGTATGGAATACTTGGCTAATTGCATCTATGGGCAATTGCCTCCTTTGGAATGAGACCAGAAGAACTACATGGACCACAGCTATCATTACTGAACACTTTGATCTTCCATAGAGGGATTTTGATCAAAAGGGAGAAAATTAAGAACTTCAAATTCTCATGGACACTAGACTTTCTGGAGTCATGTAGGTATGAATAACCACTGAAACTATTACTCAGAGATAATCCTTAAACCTTAAATTAAAAAAAAAATTGTTGTTGTTGTTGATAACCTTCGAGTTGAGTATGACTCATAGTGACCCTATGAACAAAAGGCCTGCGTGACTCCCATCTACAACTGTCAACATTTATCAAAGGTCATAGGGTTTCCGGAGGCATGTTGTTCAGGAAGTGGATGCCACTCCTGCTTCCATAAAAGCTCTGGTGGCCTAGTGGCAAGAAGCTGTGCTGCAATCCCAAAGGCACACAGTTTGAGGCCACCAGCTGCTCCTTGGGAGAAGGATGGAAAATCTCCACCCATGTGATTAACTGCCTCTGAAAATCCACCGGAGGGTCAGCCTGTTCAGTGCTCTTCTTTAACACCAAGTAAAAAATATTCCCTGATATTTTCTTCAAACCAAGTAGTCGTTTGCCTTGAGGAATACTTCAGACAGAGAGTGAGAATGGTTGTACAACTCTAAGATTGTGATCAATGCCTGAATTACACACATGTAAACTACTGAATTGGTATATGCTTTGCTGTTTATGCTCTCATTAGCAAATAAATAAAATAAAATTGGAGAAAATATTAAAAGTACATCAATTATGTTAATAACTGAGAGTTCTTGGTTTCAAAGACTTAGTTTCTCTTTGTTACCAACCCCCCTTCTGATTAACTGAAAACTGAGGTTTCACTCTAAAGATTCACATTGACTCCAGACCCACAAGGCAATGAGCAGTTATGTCAATGTGTGATTTTCTTTAAACGCACAACTTCATGAGGCAGGTATTTTATACACAGAAAACAAAGGCTCAGGGATATTAAGTCACTAAACTCTCTGGATGTTTGCAGTCATTTCTCCTCATTTTGAATCATGCCACTTCAGAAAGTGAAGGTTCCAAAAGTTTTACTCCTTTTATATCATGGAGGTCAATTTTAAAGAAGTAATTTCCAAATGCATTTTGAATGCCTTTCAACCCAAGCTTCCTCCTTCAGCACCATATCATACAATGACACATTGCAAACTCCTTTTACATCAGCCTAGGACTCTTCTGGAACTAAGAGGCATTACATTCAACCCTTGGGGAGCTCTGGTGGCTTGGTGGTACAGAGTTGTGTTGCCAACCCAAAAGTACTTGGTTCAAATCCATCAGCAATCTTCTCTCATGTAATTAACTGTTTCTAATAACCTATTGGACGGTCAGCTATGAATAAGTTCTATCTTAAAGGTAAATAATAACAGCATTCAACCCTTAACCCTTTTATAACTATTTAACTCATCAGATCATGGAGGATCTAGGGAGATTCAACAACTTCTGCAATGTTGTTGTTGTTGTTGTTATGTGCAATTAAGTCACCTGTGATTGCATATATGTATTCTGGGGGGAGGCATAATTCAATCCATGACAGATGGCTCAATACAGTGGCTGCAAAGGGGAGAATGTGAAGATTAGGCAGTGTTTTGTTCTGCTGTTTGGCACCTGACCACAAAGAAGCCCCTGTAGCACAATTATTACTCAGCTGTTAATTTAAAGTTTGGCAATTCAAGCCTACCCACCACTCCTAGGATATACACAGCCTTGCAAACTTTGCAGAGCAGTTCTACTGAATCCTATAGGAATACATCACTAATGATGTTGTTGTTGAGTACCAACTAATTGGAACTGATCCATAGCTGACCCTCCAGCGGGTGTTTTGAGGCAGTTAATCACACATGTGGGAGGTGATTGCCCATCCTTCTCCCACATGACTGTTACAAACTCCTAATTCTCATTCATCAGGCAGGAATGAAATTATTCCTCTTTAATGGTGACATCGTTAAAGTTTTGTATGACAATGCACTAAAGAGACTCTCAACCACTCCCCATTAATAAATTCTTACCCTGGAATTCCAGTCCTCGCAGCTGAAAGGTGACAAGACCATTTCCAATTTCAATCAGGTGAACAAAGGCGTTGAGGTAATCTGAAGCCAAAATGAAGCAGTCTCCAGAGCTGTAGTTACCCCAACGACCAAGCACCAAGTCCCCACAGAGGGACTCCTGCAAGGACCTTGTCAAGTGCTCATAAAAGATGGAATTGAGATTGTTGTCATCACTCCCTAGAGGTAGAAAAAGAAAAGGGTGAATGAGGGCATATTCCAAATGTACTCAAACCTAGGAACCATCAGTTGTCATGTGACTAAGGATAAAATCAGACTTTTCAGATTCACAAAAGTCAAAGTCTCTAATTTCAATTGATCATATGAGATTCTCCCCCGCCCCGTATGTTTTTGTACAGAAGCCTTGGTGAAAAGAAGTTCAAGAATTGGCTGCTAACTAAAAGGTGAACAGCTTGAACCCATCAGATTCTCCATAGGAGAAAGATGGGAAAGTTGTTTATATAAAAATTTACAGCTTTGAAAACCCTGTGAAGCATTTGACATACAGCATTTCTGTGAGTTGGAGTTCACTTGACAGCCATGGTTTGACTTGAGTTTTATATACCCTCTTAATGGTGGAACAATTAAACACCCAGTGCTAACCCACAGATTGGTGGTTTAAATCCTCTCACCAACCCCCTGAGAGAAAGATCTGGTGATCTGTTAAGGCGGTGGTTGTTGTTGTGGGCTGTTGAGTTGGAACCGACTTATAACTGACCTTCTAGCAAATTTTCAGAGGCAGTACATCACCCAAGAGGAGACTGCCCATACTTCTCCTGCGTGGATCAACTGGTGGATGCAAATTGTTTGCCTTTGGAATTGCAATGCAATTCCTTACTAGGCCACTAGAGTTCCCTCCATAAAGATTAGGGCTAAGAAAAGAGACCTGGGAAATGAATAAGGATGATAGAAGAATGAGTGTCTTTAAGCTGTGGTGCTGGAGAAGAGTACTGAATATCCATGGACTACCAAAAGAACAGGTATATACGGGGGGGAAAATGCACCCATGGTGCTCCTTGGAGGTAAGGATGGCAAAGCTTTATCTCATGTATTTTGGGAATGTTGAAGAAGAAGCTCTGCTTTAAAAAAGGACATCATCCTTGGAAGAGTGGAGGGTCAGTGAAAGAGAGGAAGACCCTCAATGAGATGGATTGGCACAGTGACTACAGCAACGGGCTTGAGTGTGTCAGAGCTGATGAGGATGGCACCGGATAGGACAGGGTTCAGATCTGTTGTTTATAGGGTCACTATGAGTCATGCTCTACTCAACAACATGTAACAATAACAACAACAACAACAGGTCTGTCACAATGGATCATTGTGAGTTGAAATTGACTCAATGACATTCAACAATAACAATATACCTTCATAGGTAATTTTATCTACATGTTTATTTATTTCTAATTTCTAGTTAGAAGGAGATGACTTACAAATTCATATATCCAGCTGACCTTCTCTTGTCTGAAGTCTAGTTCTCTGTATCTACTTTTCTACCTAACATCTCCTTTCTTGTGCATCTCAAAGACACCGCAACTTCAACATGACCAAATCAATCTGTATCCTGCAGTGAGTGGTACCAATATATTTAGACAGGAGTCTTTAATACTCTTTCACATGCAAGTGCCTCAATTTTATCTCCGTCAAATATTGCTTGAGCTTTTCAAGTTTCCTCCCTGTCCCAAGTGACATCATCCCTGCATGAATGATCATGACAGTCACGTGACCGACCTGTGTGTGTTCCCTGAGAGCTGCCATGCAGTCTGTCTTCCACACAACAGCCAGAATGAGCTTTTCAAATTTAAGAATTTAACATGTTGCCTACGACCCCCCCAAACCAATTGCTTACAATCCTTCAGTGGTTTCTCAAAACTCTTAAGATAGAGCAAAGATTCAAGAGCATGAACTATAATGTCACTGTTGTTATGTACCATTGAGTCAGAATCAACCCTTAGCTGACCCTCCAGGGGACCCTCCAGTATCTTTTCAGAGGCTGTACATTTTGTGCAGGAAGACATTGTTCATGTTTCTCCTGAGAAGCAGCTGGTGGATTTAAATGTGTGCCTTCTGACTGACAATACAAGACTTTACCACTGAGCCACCAGAGCTCCCTGTACTAGGATGACCATATTATTGATATGGTATAAATCCAAATAAACCAGGGCTGTCAAATCAGTGTACATGATCATAAGGCAAACTGGGTGAATGATGCCTTCCCTCCATCTCCATCCTCATTTCACACGACATTCCTTCTTAGAGTGTTATACACAATAGCACAGGTCCTTTTTCATTTGAATGAAAATGGCCATCTCAGGCCTTTGTGCTCCTCTTCTGACTGAATCCTCTTGAATTCCTTCCTGGCTTCTTAGTGGATATTTTCATTTTGTCCATCTTATCCGCCTTATCTTTTGTGGAGTGTGCTCTGTTGATGTCAGAGCTAAGACACTTTTACCCATGCCATGCTCTGGGGGCGCAGAACATATAAAACTGTAGTTAATCCCAAGGCCATGCCTCTCCAGCGAGCTGAAGCCACCAGCAGCTCTTAGGGAGAAAGACCGACACTCAGCTCCTCCTTTGTGACTTACAGCCTCAGGAACCCCTAGAGGGGTCAGCTACAAGTGACTTCCAACTTGATGGCATTGAGTAGTTTGAGTATGCCTGTGCGAGTTTCCTACTAATGCTGCCTTCTGGATTTTTGTAGCGTTAGGGTGTATGGCTAAGTCTATGGTCCATTTTGAATGTATTTTGTATATACTCTGAGATTAAGAGTTAACTTTTCATAGATAGAAGTCCAATTGTTCTGGCCTCCCTGAGCTGAAATACTTAGTTCTCTCTCCCTTGAATTGCTTTGACATTTTTGTCAAAATTGTATGGACCTTGTATGTCCCAACCTATGTCGGAATAATCAATAATATTCAATCAGTCTACTCTATCCTTTCACAAGGCCTTTGCCTTAGTTATTACAGCTTTGTAATAAGTTCTGAAATCCTGTAGTTATGACCTCCAGCTTAGGGCTTCTTTTAAAGATCATTTTAACTATCCTAGTATCTTCCATAGAAAATATGAATCTTTGAATGAGCTTGCCTCAAACATACAGCCATGATTTTGATTTGGTTTTTGTTACATTTATGTATCATTTTGGAAAGAATCTTATCTTTGTAATATTGAGTCTCTCAACCTCAGGGTAGTTTTTATCTGTTTCATTGATTTTGCCCATTTCTGGTAACTTTCATCAGCGTTTAGGGGTGTCCTTTTCATCTTTTGAAAAATTACATCCAGCTTTTATGTTGTTTGCTGCTATTGTAAATAGTACATTTCCCCATCTTAATTCCCAATTAGTGGCTTTACAGAAATACAAAGGTTCATTGAGTTTCCTCCTCCTCCATCTTTGATCTTATAACCTCACTTATTAATTCTAGTCACTTTTGATATCTTCTGAGTTATTTTTAAATTAGAAAATCATGTTACCTGTGACCAAAGAGAGTTTCTTTTCTTTCTAAAGGCTTTGAATAACCTTTTCAAAAATAATGAACTAATTATATTTTAGTATCATTATTTCAGAGTAGTAGGAAAATCATCAGTGTGCTAAGATCACCAAAAAATAACTATATATAAGCCTTCTGCGACCTATGACCCATCTGGCATTTTCACTTACTCTGACAAACTTGTCTTTTGAGAGTCATGCCCTATCCCTCTCCATCTTCCTTGTGAATACAGGGAGAATGAATGATGGCATCTGAAGAAGAGATAAGGTACAATAAAGAGGAAAATGCTCTATTTCACACACCACGGGTGTGTGTTGAGAATGAGGGTGGGCCAGTATTTTTTCTCTAACCCCCCTTCCGGTACTTGATTTCTTTCCTTCCCTCAGTACATACTTATTAGGATCTAAACTTTAAAAAAAATTTTTTTTATTATTAATTTCAATGAAAATTTACAGAGACTTTGGATTTCCATTCATTCATTGTTGCACTTTTCTCCCTGACCAACACCCCCTCCCCCCAGTACACTATTCTCTTTGAAAAGTAAAAGAAAAAAAATCTTTCGTTGTTTTCAATCCCTCCCCCCAGGTCAATTCCACTATGTAGCCCTCACTCTGGACTCTCATCATGACAAAAATACCTAATCACATATCCCTTTTTAACAGTTTTCTCCCTCATCTGTTTCAATGCAGTATACATTATTGAACCCATCTTTCTCAGTCTCCCCCCAACCCCGATGTCAGTCCTGTTTTACAACAGTGGCACCATGCAGTATTTGTCCTTTTGTGACTGAGATACTTCACTCAGCATAATGTCCTCCAGGGTCACCAATTTTGAACAATATTGCATGAGCTCCTTGTTTTTCAATGCAGCGTAGTATTCCATTGTGTGAGAAAGCTAAATAAACTGGGAATTCCTCTTTGTTGGTAGTCCTGGTAGAGGGAAGAGGGTTTAGGAAGGGCTTGAGAGAAGTTGGCACTCAGATCTTTCATTTAAAAAATGTTGGACATGGGGGCCTCAAAGGGAACTTGCCTAAAATAAAACTCAAGGTTTTCTTCTAGGCAGAGCCAGAGGTAGGTGAGGCCAGAGAGCTTGCAAATGTGATGGCAGCTTCGTAGTATTGCACCCCTGTAAACCCAAGTATGAGGGGAGAATACAGAAAGACGAAGCCAGGTTCTGCGTGCCTTATATAAAGATTAACATCCATTCATCTCTAAGAAAGCCATAAAACAACATGATCAGATGATGATTCTCTCTGCTGAGCACTCATGACAGTAAAAAATGAATTTGAAATCACTGCATCTATAACTTAATTATGATTAATGGAAAGAAGGAAACTGTTCTATGGAGCGAGTCGTGCTAGACAGTCTAATAAAGCATCAGTCTGCTTAACATCCTCTACACAGTGCCGCGGATGGCCTGACCATTTGCATCTATTCTCCATGATGAATCAGCAGGCATCTGAGACACTCATTAGAGGCTGCTTGGAGTCTCTGGTAGTTGAAAAGAAAAGGTCTGAATGAGGGAATTAATCTTTGCTTAATTGCTGGGTGTTTAAGAGGACAGAGAGAAGAGCTACAATGACTGAGGGGAGGGATGTTAACTTGTGGCCTCTTCTTGGAACGCACTGTCCTATTGATCACACATCTGCATAATTAGATTATAGTGAAGCAATCATTTGCTTCACTAAAGGCAAGGCCTTGCTTGGGAAATTCTACATCTGCAAGTGATCCATGGCTTAGTGACATGTCAGGCCTCGCTGGGGAATATCAGGGTTGTTTGGCATTCTTTCCCAGCTGTAGTGACATAAATAAAAATGACACCTATCTCTCCAAGTGTTTTACATTTTAGTTTCAAACTGATCTTACATAATCCCAATCATGTACCTGACACAATTCTCCCTAGACAAAACTTCTGACACCAAGGGAGAAAGCAAGGAGGATAAAAATAGAGAACTAGAACTTAGCATCCACTTATAAGGGAAAAAAGAGATGGAATACCTTAAAACTAGATCAATTGTGAAAAGAAAAAAAATGCATTAATTTATGATAGCTAACATTATGTACAAATTTAGATAGGGTAATAGGGTCAAGTTTTAGGACAAATATCAGCGTAGCTCTTGCTGTGGAAGTATTTTGTGGTTGTGACGAACATTTACAGTGAATTGACTTTAAGGAAAATATTGATGTCTTTGAATTGTGGTATTGGAGAAGAGGACTGAATATCTCATAGACTGCCAAAAGTACAAAAAGCTTGGTAAAAGTGCAGCCAGGATGCCCACTGGAAGCAGACGAACCATCACCTCACCTACTTTGGGTGTGTTTCTAGGAGAGGTTAATCCTTGAATATGGCCAGCATGCTGGGAAAGGTGAAGAGATGGAGAAGGAGAGCAAGACCTTCGATGAGATGACTGACACGGTGACTGCACAAAGGGTCAAGTGTATCAGAGCTGAGGATGACGGCACAGATAGGAGAGGGTTCGGGTCTGCCATTCATAGGATTTCTGAGTTGACTTGATGCCACCTGATAATGTGGATGGGCCTCCTCCTAACCATTAAAGGTCTGAAGAGTAAAAATAGGCTTTCCTGAGGAGCAAAGCTCTGTTTAAAGTCAGTTGATGTCCTGCCATTCCCAGCCCGCTGCATGGACTTGACAGCCTTCCCAGTCATACGGCCAATTCCATAAAACTAATCCACTTAGGTATATTCATAGATCTCAGCGGCTCTGTTTCCCTGGAAAACTCTGACTAACATAGATCCTTATAGTAAGAATTTTCCTCATTTAGTGCAGACTGGTTTCTAAACTCTGCTGTATTCTGGATTCTGGAATGCTTTGCTTTTAAAATGATCATAATGCTGGATGCTAAAACACTAATTCCAAGATTTAAAAATTTGGATTTGTTGTTTATAATACACAAAATATGTCCCTATTCACCCCCAAAAAGTTTTCTTTGAGTGGATTCTGACTCATGGCAACTCCATGCACATGTGGAAAGGCTTTCGGAAGATGGGGAAAGTCTATGGGACTTTCCAAAGTGGCAAGGATCCACTGTCATCCAGTGGCTGACAAGGTCACCAGACCTATTTTGAGATGCTTCTAGGTGAACTTGAATTGAGGGTTGCACTAGTCCGAGATTCCATGTAATTAACAGAGTCATTTAATATGGAAAAATTACTGTAACTATTCCAAATCATGAAGAAATGCTTTTCTAAGCCAAATCCAGACCAAGCTGCCTGCACAGTGTCTTCTTGTTATGTTGTTTGGAGTCACTGAGTCAAGTACAACCTGCAGATCTGAACCCTGTCCTTCCCTGTGCCATCTTCACACTTCATGGCACACAAGATCCTATTGCGGCAGACACTGTGTCTATTACCTGGTTGAGTGCCTTCCTGTCCTTTGTTGATCCTCAAGCAAGATTAATTAAGATTAATTCCTCTCCACTGAATAGCCCCTCCTAGCAACATGCCAAAGTATGTGAGGCAAAGCCTTATCATCCTTGCTTCCTAATAGCACTCCGGCTCCACCCTCTCTAAGACATATTTATTTGTTCTTTTGACAGTCCGTGGGATGTTCAGTGCTCTTCTTCAACACCACAGCTCAAAGGCATCAATTCTTCTTCTGTCTTCCTTAGTCATTGTCCAGCTCTCTAAGGCATAGAAAGTTATCAGAAAGACTATGGCCTGAATCAGATGCACCTTAGTCCTCTGACTTCATTACTCCTCAATAGAGAGATCGCTAACTGCAGACTTTCCCAATGCTGGTACCAAAGTTGTTAAGAGTGGACAATTACCAAGACACACTCCAAGACTCTCAACTTTGGACACCTGGTTTTGTTTTCATTTTTAAGTTGAAGGACTTCCTCTACGCAAATACACACTTTAGCAGGAGACAAGAAAGGTGTCTTCTTACCTGCATCCTTTTCAATTTGCACTGCCAGTCTTGTATTGGAGTTATCTACACGCTTTGTGCTAGAAGAAGCCAAAACAAGAGTAAAAGATATAATTAGATCCCCCCAAACAAAAGGGGTCGGGAGCTCTGGTGGCCTGGTAGCAAGGAGCTGTGCTGTAATACTGAAAGCACACAGTTCAAGGCCGCCACCTGCTCTGCAGGAGGATGGGCAATCTCCTCCTGTGCAAATAACTGCTTCTGAAAACCTGCTGGAGGGTCACTTATGGGTCAATTCCAACTCTCTGGTATACAACAACAACAACAAATGAAAGGGGTAGCTTCAAGAATGAGCTGTGGGAGCAGATAATGCAGAGAAGACAGAGCTCCAATCAATAAGATGATTATTTCAATTAGCTATTGTTGCAAAATATTGTTGCAACATATGTTGGGAAACCGGTCTTCAATACAATAAAAATTGGCACTCAAAAGAGGAAGTAAAATTATCCCTTTATGCAGATGAC